AGCAGTAAATTTCACTAATGATACTGACAACACCTAAACTCAGACAAATACAAAGCTGACATCTTTAGGGTTTCTTTTTAAAGTTTAAAAGATCATGCTTCTATCTAAAAGGTATAGTCTATCTTTCCTTCCTCCTATGCTACATCTTTTTTCCAAATTACTCTACCCCTATCTCCAGTCACCCTTTCCTTCTGCAAAATAAGTAAAAGTGTGTTGTGCTACTTTCAAGACTATAAGAATTGAACATCAAACATTTCATAATTTATAGCTAGAAAACTATCATACGCATGTATTCTTGCATTTTCTAGGACACTTTTTGTACAAAATTTTATATGGAAACATAAAAAGGCCTGCAACTACCAGCTAAAATTAGTCAGATTAGGCCATGGAACACAGAAGAAACTAAATATCTCCACAACAGACATTAAGTTAAAGAAGATCAAATGGGGTATCTTTTGCGCAGTTGGGCAAATAGTTGACAACATGGCTATTTAGTTAAAGTGAAAAATTACACAGGATTATAATATTAAGACATAGCTAATGAAAAGTTCAGAATCTATTATACAAGATATTAATTCACCACTGAAACTAATTTCTAGACCTTTCTCTGGATCTAAACCTGAAACGCCAGCATCAAGTGAGTCATAACATTCTAGTGTTAAATAAGTATCTTTAAAACATTTTTGGCCATCATCTACAGAAAGAAATATATATTTTACATTGTAACAAAACAAAAGTTTATAGGACACAATTATCCTTACTCTGTGCACTTGACTTTGATATTTTTACTCTAGTCTCTCTTTAAAAAAAAAAAAAAATGGTTATCAACCTCTCAATTGGCTCTAAAAGTGAAGTGGGGAGGAGACCCAATGAAGGGGATAAGGATGAGGGCAAGGGTTGGAGATGGTGAACTTTGCCTCACAAGAGATATCTGACAATGTCTGGGGATATTTTTGGCTTTCACAACTGTGATTATGGTTGCTACTGGCATCTAGTGGGGTAGAGGTCAGAGATGCTGTTAAACACCTTACAATGCATGAGATAGGGCAACAAAACAATTATCCAGGCTCAAATGTTAATAGTGCTGAGGTTGAGAAACCTAGCACAGTCTACTCAATAAGAAAATAATAGGTAAAATTACAAATCCAATGTTACTTTTTAAGGTTATGAAAAAATATATTTTAAACTTTGGGAAGAAGGTTTAAAATATTTAAATTCAGAAATACTATGATATTTGCAATCTAAGACTTACCTCCTTCTATAACCCAAAGGCAAAAAAGAAAAAGAAAAAAAAAAAAGAAAAAATATCAATTTGCAATTTCCTAACCCAATACAAAGTATGGGACAGTGATTAATTTAGTGTTATAAAAAGCAAACTATATCACATTGAGTTAAAAGATGATGAGTGTTATAAGAATACAGAGCAGGCAAAATCAGTAAATATGACTAATGCTTTATTCCTCTGAAGTCCTACAGTACCTGCTTAGTACAATTACCTTATATTGCTAGTTATTTTAGATTCTCAATTTCTAGGACAGAAAAAAATGTGTTACTCATTTCTACATTTTCCAATAGATCCAATCCATCACCTTGCAAATTCTAGGCACTGAAAGAGTTCTTGGCAGAAAAATAAGTAAATAGGTGTTCAGTATTTAGTGAGACACTGAATTACATCTCAACAAATTAAGCATATTCTTCTTAGTCTGAAAACAAGCCTCGTTCAATGTAGGAGAGATCTTGGAAGAGGAGAAACCAACACAACCACATCTACATGAACACAATTATACTTTCATTCAAAACTCTTGAGAGTTGTCCTATAGAAGTCTTAACTATCACAGAACATTAAGTAATCGAAAAGTGGTTTGAATACCGTATGATGAGTATTGTGTATAAATAGTCTCATTTAATCTTTACATGACTGAACAATAAAGACACTATTATCCTGATTTACAGATTCATAGGTAAAGAAACCGACCTAGGGTGGTTAAAAAGATAGAACAAAATCACATAGTTAGTGAAGAACACAACCAGGGTTTGATCATTCTCTTACTTCAAAATCGATACTCTTCCCATTAAGCCTTTCTGGTTTTGTTACACAAATAATGGCTCAGTCACTCATGAATTATAATTAGCAGCATCATTTAACAGAACAAACTGGATGAAATGACATCTATGATAAATTTGAGTGCAATTCTGTATATTTAAAATAATTAAATCCATCCGAAGTAACAAGTGAGTAAGACACGAGCCAAAGCCACTAACACACCAATAAAGCTAAAGATAGAAGAAGAAAAAAACCAGACGATCCAGAAAGACAGCAGAGAGAAAAAAAATTTAGGTAAAGTAAATTATAAACTTGCTGCTGATTGCCAAGGAATTTTATTATTAATAAACCAGAAAAGATTGTGCTACGTAGTAGAAGATATGATATACTAGGATCTTGAAAAAAATTATTCTGCTATGATAATGTTGCCTGGTATTATCTATACAGTATTGGTTAACATTTTAAAATTAGATAACTTGCTGCAAATTTGCCTTGCATATTTTTGAAACATTATGCACAAAACTGAAAAGAAACAGAAAAGTAAAGACAAGAAAGATACCTGAATTGTAAAAAACCTTCTTTGGACTGGTTTAGCATAGGGATAACAAAGTAAAGTGGTAATTACTTTTTTAATTTGATTTTTTAAAATTATACTTTAAGTTCTGGGGTACATGTGCAGATCTTGTAGGATTGTTACATAGGTATACACATGCCATGGTGATTTGCTGCCTATATCCCCCCTTCACCTACATCAGGTATTTCTCCTAATACTATCCCTCCAGTTGGTTCTCATCAGAATGATGTCACTACATACAAAAATACAGAAAAAGTGTTTAAAATCCATTAACAAACTTTCTTTAACTATTAGGAAAAATTTTCAAACATTAGTTAACTATCAAAGGTAAATCACAATGTTAGATACTAAAGGTAATTTATTCCCAAATCAATTTGCCAATTTTCTATAAATAATAAAAAATGCTACCTTAATGATGAAAAGTCAAGACATCATACAAATCAATCTCTTTCCCACAATATCCCAATGTCTCAACAGCTACAATTTCTCCTTGCTAAATTCAGTTATTGGGGAAATGTCAAACAGAAAGAGATGACTTCACTCAAATTTATTCCTACAAATTCAAATTAAAGCGTGGTTTTCTGCCAAATACCTGTTGACAGAAACTGTCCTCTGTGAAACAAATAATTAAATAAATGAGAAAGAGGACTATCTTTAAGAGTTTTTACTAGAAGTTCAAGTTCAGGAAGAATAAAGATGGGAGAGGTATTTTTTTTCTGTATTTGATAAATGTTTTACTTTTGCTAATTTGTTTCAAATAGGATTTTAATTTAACTCACACATAGCTTTTTATTTATATGAGATTTTTATAAGTGGTATTTTAGAATACTAAAACAAGGCATAAGTCCTGATAAGGATGTCTATCACGTATTAAAAAAAAGCTTTAAAGCACTGAATTTATACATTTCTGGGGTTTTTACATTTTTATATTCTACAAGTGAAGGCATTACTTTAGCAAAGTGTAATAGAAATACCTACTAGATAGAATCAATCTAAACCAAACCACCAAAGATAACAAAACTATCCTTTTCTTATTTTTTAGTATCATCATATACTCTGGCAAATGTGGAAAAAAAATGACCAAACTAAAGATTATTAAATATACTTAAGGAAGTATTATAGCTTAGGGAAAATAATATTTCTATATACTCCATAATAAAACGAATTGAGATCTATAGTTGCTCTTTACAGAAATAATGGGAAAAAAATTATCAAAGATACAAGATGTGGTTTCAAATAACCAAAGAAAAAAACACTAGATAAACATCAAAATGAGAAATATATTTGGCAAATTACAGTTAAATGGGGAAAAATCCTAATATACAAAAAGCTCTTATAAATCAATAAGAGAAAAACTAATATGCAGAGAAAGATAGTCAGAAGGAATTAAAGGAATAAACAGATAATTCACAGAAGATACCAAATGGAAATAAACATATAAAACATTCAACTTTACAATCAAATTCAAATTAAAATGAGAAAGAGATGGCATTTTTGTGGTTATTCAGTGGGCAAATACTTGGTGCATTGAGACTGAAAGCTCAAGTACATCTGACAAGAGTAAAGCACGTTACAACCTTTATGGAAAGCAATTTGGTCATCTGAATTAAAGTTTAAAATGATCCCAAATACAAATATATTTTTGAAATACTCAAGAGATGTACACCAAAAAATTGTGTAAAAATAACCATAATAATATTACTTATATTGGTAAATTGAATATTTCTTTATTTGTCAATGCCCCAAATAAAGAAATATTTAGTTTGTGGTATAATCTTACAATAGAATATTAGTGTAGCTATTTAAAATGTATTTCTAAAAAACACCTAATGGCTTGAAAAAAACACTTATAATGTGATATCAATTAAAAACAGTATATAAAATTATACATAGCATGATATCAATTTTATAAATCTATAAACCATACATGTATAGGAAAAAAATAAGGAAAATACAATAAAAGGTTAACAATGGTTAAATGGGGGAAAGAAATAGGGATAACTTGCATTTCATTTACATGCTTTGAAAACCTTTTCAGATGTTTTATAGTAAACATATTGTTACTTTCATAAGGAGACACAAAATATATATCTTATTTTAAAAACTAGTTAATGAATATTTTTGAAATATGTGTCAAGAGATACAAGAAAACTTTCAGAAACAAAGCAAGAAAGCAAGTTTTAAAAATCAATAGAACATCATTCTGTTGTTCTTATACATGAACAACAGAAGATATTTGAAATTTTCTTTACACATTCAATACCATTAAAAGACTTTTAAAATAAAGCTAGTAATGCCTATTAAATTTTCATTCAGAAATACAGCATATTAAAAAATGTTTATCTAATCAATTACAGCAAATTGTATGATTAGAAAGCTTACCTTTTTCACTTACACTCTCACTTTCAATCTCAACATCATCACAACTTGTATATTCGGGTGTGGAAGCCAATTCCTCCTCTGAACTGCTCAACGAAACCTGGCGCATTTTACCTCCTTTCTTTGATTTATGAGGCTTTGGCGGTGGAGGTCTCACTGACTCTGACTGGTCTGAACTGAGAGAATCATTCCTTAACATTGTTTCCATTTTTTCCCGTTTTGTTTTTCTTACAGCAGAGCTAGGTTCTAAGTGGTGCTGTTTCCTTAGTGAGTCAGTACGCCTCAAGTCTGGTCTATCTATGGGTAGTGGACTCCTCCGTGGGGTAGGAGGACTATGGTTTGTGGTCCTTTGTGCATAAGAACTTGATCCCTGAGCCTCTCGAGTTCTTTCCATTGAATAAGATCGCTGATTTTCCATGGCAGCTCTACGTTCAGATATAGATCTTTGCCTTGATGGTCGGTCCATCCTTAGCATAGAAATCCTGGAATCGTCTAGGTCAGCATTTGCCAAAGAAACATCACTATGCCTTCTCTCATGCCGTGCTCGGGACACTTCAGCATGGATCCGCATTTGTTCTTCATAGGGCTGTGGCTTTACTGGATAACGGGCCAAATTCGGATCACTTCGGTAGCGTGCCTGGTACTCTTCCTCTCTCCTTTGTCTTTCATATTCATCTCTGCTTTCCACATCCTCATCATCTACAATATATTCTTTGGAATGCCTATGACTTCTCCTATTGGAGTCCCTGTAACTTAAATGATCAGAGTCTTCATAAAACTGAGGTTCATGTTGAGATCGCCTATCAGCATAATCTGATGGAGATCTAGGCATTGCGCTATCGGAAGTAGCATAGTGTGAATATTCCTCTCTTTCTTCCCTTTGGTCGTATCTTCTATTCTGATCTCTGGACACAGATGGACTTCTTTTCCTAAGTAACCAAAGAGAACAATGAGAACAGAAAATGTTTAACAATTTTACATTTCACTGATTTGCTGGCAGGTTGATGGATAACTAAGCAGTCCTTTTGCCTTTTTAAAATTTCATTTTAAAGGCATACCGTAACAATGATTTTAGTAGTATTCATTTTATTCAGTTCAAATAAGTACTTTGTTGTGGTTATTAAGTACCTGAAGCACTATATCTGGAACATGCTTATGCTCCAAAATTAGATAATATGATATTCTGCTGCTATAAAATAACCTTTATTCTAATTTCCTTGCTTGGCTTGCTACACTTCCACTATCCGCCAACTATTATTCAGAAGCTTAGAAAAATATTTCCTTCCATCCTCTCTCGACCTAACATGTTGATATGAAAGTTATCTGAAAATGTAATGAAGTCAAACTGATTTGGCTCAAGAGTTGAAAAACTTTCTGACTAAAACTAAGTGCTGGCTCTTAAAAATCATTTTTCATTCATCATCTGTCTAGATCATTCCTAGAATTGGTTTACTTAAATTTTCATTTTATCATCATGTCTCCAACCCTTTTTTACTGAGCTACCTTAAGATAAGCAATTTAAATAGATAAATAATAATTTATTTATTTTAAAAAATCCTAGAAATCAGAAAAATACTGCTATTTTTGTTCCATCTTCATTTAGATTAAGGGCAGCTTGGTGATATTAACCTACACAGTCTTCAAATCTGACTCCTCATATTTCCTTACAGTCTCAAAGGAAGAAACTGCTTATTACCTTCTCAACCTACCCTTCTAACACTGGCAAACCTAGGGGACACTGCAATCACACATAATACTCTGTTAACAAAATATTCACACTAACCTCTTCTCTGGAATAAACTTAGGTAATATCAACTATTAGTCATAAAAAGCAATAGGATTAGAATCCTAAAGATAACAGAAAACGTTTAGAAAACTATTATGGGGATATTGCCAGGACAGAAGATAATGAAAGAGTGAAGTCAGTTGAAGTTAAAGATGACTAAGAGTCAACAGTTCAGTTGCGAATTTCTTAGTCAATGTTTTCTTGGCCCAAAGGCAGGAGCAGAGCAAGGACAGAGTGGAAAGACACAACCTGGCAAAATCAGCACTCTTCTCTAATATCTCCCCTGGGTGACAGAATCCCTTTTTCCCTCGTATTTGGAATACAGTCTACCAATCTATAAATTAGGTTCCCTAATCAAAATAGAAGTTACTCTAGGTTTTCCAGGTAGGAAGGGTTTTAATATAGGAACCAGAAGCTACACAACTGTTGAATGGACTATAGGAATAAAGGCCAGGAAAGTTAATGCTGATGGCCCTTGCCTGAAGATGCAAAGACAAGGGTTCTTAAAATGGACATTAGAAAGCTGCTGTGAACATCAAGAGTATATGGAAATCTTCCAGCAATTATCATAGCTGGCTACAGCATCAGGGTGGCCAATTAACAGGAGTTTGCCCAGGAGCCATTAAGACTTTCACATCTGCCCATCTGCTAGCCAATAACTAATGCTTGACAAGAATGGCTTCTGTATCTTCTCCGCCTTTCAATTCTCACATAAGTAGAAAGCCAGGATAAACACTAACCAGGAGCTATAAAGGAATAAGTACTGTAGAAAGTGAAGAAATAAGTTTATTCCTTAAATGCTTTGTAATAAAGGAAGTGGATATGATATTTTTTAACATTTACATTTATATATAAAACATTTAAGACTTAATTACAAATCCTTTAGATTACAGTTGTTACATAAAACCATAGACTCCTACAGTTTAAAATGTATAATCAAAGCATTCAAAAATTTATAGTATTAACCTAAACAACATCCTATGTTTTTGTGTATATGTGTGTGTGCACTATGCATCATTCATTTTATTTTTGTCATTATTTTTATACAAGTGACTAAAAAAAACACTCTAGCATGATAGCAGTCTATCATGAAAAGAACACTAGATTTAAGGAATCTGCAGTTCTTAGTCCTACTTTCGCAGTTAGCCAGTTATTTCAAACTAACCATTAAATCCTTAGGAGTTTGTGCTTTAAATTGAGAAACACAGATTTTGTGCAATGGTAACTTATACATTACTATCACAAACATATATCAGGTAAGAAAAAAAATGCCACACACTATCATATAAACTAGGAATACAAAATGATTAAGACACATCCCTTATTCTGGGTGAATGATTCTAAAATCCTCTTCCATTTCTTAGGTAGTATGATCTTATAATATTGATACCACAACTTCATCAAGTTAATACACCTACATGAAAGTTTAATGCATTAAGGATTTCCCATAATATATTTAATGTCAAACTGAGTATTATAGGATAGAAGTAAGAAAAAAAAGGAACACTTCATTCCTATCTTAAGGAATTAACATGAATTTTTGAAAGTAAGTAGAGTATAAAGTGAATACAGTAAGTATTTATAATAAGGGATTGTATTTTATCTTACTGATAAATAGGAATATTTACTTCCTATTATGGAATTCAGTTCCAAGAGAAACGCTATTAATAATTAGTCCCTAGCAAACCATCCAAGTGCTTTTAAAAATCATACCTTAGGAAAGTAGAATTCAGTATTAAATTCAGTAATCATATTGTTCTAGAGATTATGAAATTTGCCAGAAACATGTTAATCATACTGTAGATGTTGATTTGTACTGGATTTAAGACTATAACCACTATAAAAATAGAACAGTGGTTATAATCTGAAATTGGGATGACTATTCTCACTGTTATACAACTTAGGTTTTCAGAAATACACTTTAAGGTATAGTACCTTACAGTACATTAACATTATGCCAGAAACAATGCAAGATTTCATTCTAACAATACACATATCAAACAATAAAGAACCTGAAATCAATTACTTCAAAATAATAAATATTCTATCAAACAATCTTTACCAACTGTAAAATGAATTACTTCAGATATATTGTTCTTTAAATTTTAAATTACTATATTTCATAAATAATATATTCCTTTAAAGAACTAAGGAAAATCACTGAAAATTCAAGTACTGTACTTAGCAAAGTATGTACTCCATACTTTGCTACTGGTCTTAGCATTCATTATCACCAGGTGGAAAGTATTTAATAGGGAAAAAATATCATTGATAGTTTATACACTTCTCTAAAGAACCATAAGGCATTTAGCACTATTTAATTCATCTGTTATAATTCAAAGGAAAAAGAATGATTCATCTTAGATTTTTACATTTCACTTAATCCTTCAAAGATCTTGAGAAATTAAGAGGCAGAATCCAAAAGTATGCCTTTCTTTAGAATAAAATGTATTTGTGACATCATATAGTACCTTAAATCTTTACTCCTATGCATTCTATTAATCCCTATTTCTGTTATAACAATATCAGTATATATTTATATTCACTTTATATTTACCTAATATCAATTCACTTTAGTTCTCTATATTGCCACCTGTGTTGTTAGAATTGGTTTCTCTGTCACCATAGTGTTCTATTCTTAATTAGAACCAGTTTATAGAAAACTACATTTTAAACATCCTAAATCTACCATAATAAGTATTATTTCTATTCCTTGCTTACAATTGTTTGTCATGTGGACTATTTAACCTATTTCTAAATATTGTAGCTTGTATAATACATCTGATATTCCATTATAAATATTATTCTAATTTCCCAAAATAGTTTGCATAGGAAATCCTACCAATTAGACTCCTTAAAATTCCACGTCCAAAAATCATATTGACTGATGGGAAAACTCCAAAGAAGCTTCTTTCCCGATTAAAATCACTTCCAGATTTCCCAAAGGCATCCAGGGTTTACATGCCATAAATTAATTCATCAAGTTTTTCTCATTTTAATATTTATAGGCTTTACCATCTTATGTGATTTGTGTTACTAATATCACCTGTAATACTGACCATATTGATAAAATAATAATCAAATCTCTGAAAATATAGTCTAATGAACATTTGAAAACATTTATCAACAGTGAAAGATTACATGGAAACCTACATTGTAATATTCACATATTTTAACTCAACTGAAGAAATATGCAATTTTAAAAAATTATGACAAAACTGGACATACAGTGCAGAATTTGAAGATTTACTAATTTTTGTAAATTCAAATTTTATATTATGATATTAAGTACCACCTATATGCAAATTTCTGATTCATAAGCATCATTAGCAGAGATCATTAAAAAATTGTTACTTTATAAATAAAAGGTTGTAAATCACACTTGAAAAATCAATAATCTGAAAGAAAAAACCTACGTGTTTTTAAAAATCTTTATAAAACATGGATATTGCTAAATAAACTAATATAATACTTCATGAATGCAATTACATAATGCTAACTAACCGTATAGTTTAAACATAACATTGCTAAAATTTGAAGCTGTTAAAACACATTAAATCAAGGATTTAACAGAAGTATATGATCCTGTAAAACATGAAAAACAAAGACCCATTTCTATAATTCCTACAAAAATCTTTTAATAAATCAAATAATTTCTATTTATCAAAACATAAAATATATAAATTTTTACATATCACAATTAATATTTAATATATTTTAATTATTTTACCTTTTGTTCAACCAATGCACAGCTGTCGAGCATGAATCATCATGTTGACAAAAATACATCAACAGTGTGCCAGGCAGTGCTTTCATTTAATCCTTCTAGCTCTGGCAAAATCATAGGAGCCATCCTTAATCAGATGATTTGAAAGTCTCTACTTGCTTATAATCACTTTATTTCAAAACTCAGTTACTAAAAAGTTACACAAAAACAGAAACACTAGAATCCTCTAGTGATGGACCTGTTAAGAAAAAGGTTATTCTTTAATGCTGTTACTATGTGGCTGTATATAGCTCCAGGTCAAGTAAGAACATACCCTGTAAGGAGGATTATGGTACTTAGCTGATTAGTGCCTCACAATACTGAACACAAAATGCAAACTACATCCAAGGCATTTCTGGGCACTATGCTTAAAACTG